TGTTCGTGACCCGAATTGGTCGTGAACAGAAGCGTTCGTGACCCGAGGTACCACTGTATACCATTTTATTATTAAATTGGGCTTTGGAGAAGAGAGAGAGAAGAAAAAAGGAATCCCTGTGTTTCTTATTTCCTCCAATTAAACAAACAAACAAACAAACAAACCCCAAATCCTGGAAAATTATACCACTAAACTGCTGCATTTTCCTATTGAATTTGGACAGACTGATATGGAAAGTTCCAGAGACTGGATTATGCATGAAGCCAAGGGCTACAATTTACCACTCCCAACTTAAATTTCAAAAGAAGAGAGGAGGTAGTTTCTTACCGCTACTAGAACAGGGGAGGCGATAACAATGATGGCCGCAGAATTAAAATACTTCATGAGGCTGCTTCTCATCTTCATAGTCAAAAATATTCGTTCTGTATAAAAGTATGCCTGAAAGCAGACCAAAGCAATATAAAAGTCTTAGGGAAATGAAATGAAAAAAAAAAAACAACTACTGGTGATCCAGAACAGGGGTGGGAAACCTTCGCTAACGTGGATAATCAGTGAACCTCTTTAAGAAATAGGATCATGGCTGAAGGATACTAGGAACCAGGGTTTCAAGTGCCACAATGGCCTACTACTGATCCAGAAGCTTGAGACACTAAAACATCCTTTATTGGAGCTTGGAATGAGCTGCCTTTATATAGAAGTTTCTTTAAAAAAAAAAAATCATCAATAAAGAGTTTCATTTTCCTCACCCGGATATGCTGGACTATGTTTTCCAGGATGGTCAGCCAACAACTACACTAGGTGGGAATTCTGTAAGTCATATACTCCATGCAATTGAAGGGCACAAGACTGGGCAGGAGGAGGGGGACACCTTCAATGTTTTTTCTCCTAAATTCTCCAGATTCAGATTCTCTAAATAATAAGATCTGTCAGAGTTGGACTGCCCTAGCAATCTAACAAGGATAAATCATAAATCACATAACTAAAACTGTACACACACACACACACACACACACACTTGTCCGTGATGGGAGGAGCAAGAGGTAAAACTCATTCAACTAACTGGACCCTCATTTTCTCTCCTGCCAAAATCTGCTTTGAGATCAACAGTACAATCACAGATTCCTGTTGCCCCCGTGTGTCTCTCGACCCAGTTCTGTCATATTAATGGAAAGTGGATGAAAAATGTGAGATGATGTTGTCATACTGGGTTTCTTCCCCACCTTTAACTTTAACATGTGATTGGAGTGGGCTCCTGGCATGAAACTTTCTCAATCCTGAGATGGTCAGGAGAGTTCCTCTGAAAGATGACCCACTTTCTGAATCTGTTTACATGGAACACAGAAAGGGCTTTCTTCAGAGTTGCCCCAAAGGTATAGAATATAGCACGGCCAAGAAAGGAATCTTTTTCTTGGACTAGGTCCTTGAAGTGCTGCTAGAAATTTTAGCAGTTTTATTGTGTACCTTTTAAATAATTGTTTCTACTTTATACTGGACAAATTCCCTGAGTGTCCTATGGATTAAATGGTAATGAGTTTGTTTAAAGCGGGTGAGGTATAAATGGTATAAAAATAAACAGATGAATAAAATATGAGTTCAGATAATAAATACTGTAATGAACTAACATTATTTCAATTGCACCAAGGGAAACAGAGTGCTATGGTATTATGAAGAATAATTCCTTTAAAAAAACTATACATTGTGCTGAAATTCCTAAGAGGTAAATAAACTCTTTTAAAATGAAGCTACATTCCCATTAGATAAATTTTTTGGAGGCCATATTGCATGCCAGTTGTGGACTGGGAAGAAAAAAATCTGTTTCCATCAGTTCTTTTTCTGTTTTTCTGAAACCCTTTTCTTATTATCTCTGATATATTCTTTCTCAGCTGCCAGAAAATAGATACATCATTTTTGTGAGAAGTCTGAACTGTTTGCTTGCAAAGGGCTCCTGAAATTTCACTAAAAGCCACAAGAAATACTGCCAAAAGGTTGGATTGGAATAGAGTCCTAAAACTTTAAAAAGTAGAATTATTTTTATTGCCCCAGGGGGAAAGATCAGGACGAATGGGTTAAAACAAAGATGGAGATTTAGGCTAGACATCCAGAGGAACTTTCTGACTGTACGAGTTGTCAGCTAATTGCAACAGGATGACATGATAAGTCTTCCTTCTCTAGAGGTCTTCAAAGACTAGATCAGTGTTGTCCAAACTTGGCCACTTTAAGATGAGTGGACTTCAACTCCCAGAATTCCCCAGCCAGACAACCAGCCTGGGGGGGGGGGTGAGGTGGGGGTGGTGCAGATACCGCATTCATGTGTCCAAATAGCTCACTC